TACTGAATGTCATTTTTGATTAAAAGATGTCTGCAAAAAAATCGTCGATTGTCTTTACGTTCACGTTTATAGAAAGCTTTCAAACTTCCCGATACTTCTAAAAAGATATACTAACCTCTTTATTGTATATTTGATACTCAAGAGTCCTTTATCATCTAAAGTTTCGTTATCTAGCACTCGCAAGCATGTTTCGTCTGTCGTTTGTTGTTTTTAAGTAAGTTACATCAGACTCAAGCTTTCATTTACATCAAGTTTATTCCGGTTCTTTCAAACGCGCAACTGACGTATTGAGAATTCTACGGTGAACCGTACGCGCATAATTTCCACGCATGTGGCATTACCGTTGTGTTACCCATTGACACGTGTGTTGCTAAGGCTGAGGGTAATAGACTGCGTTAAAACCAATCAGATTTTAGTATTAAACATGAAAGTATAATAATACATTTTATGTTATTTCATTTTGCGTTGGGATATGCGCAAAATATAATATCGCAAAATGGAATAATTCCGGTTTATGACATTTTGCGTAACTACATACATTTCGCGGTATATCAACGCTACCGTAAATGTGTTGCTAACAAAATTTAGAAATCTAGTTTTAGTTCATAATGATGGAAACTTTTTAAAAGTGATTACCTTTATATTTTTGTTACGACGTCACAATAAATATTCCTCACTGCTCAATGGCCGGGTAAATGCAGAGAAAAATCTCAATTTGAATCCCTTCAATGGTATAATTATGTTGACGTCACTTTATGAGTGCAATATTCTCGATTGGGACGTAGAACAACCAACAAAAAAAAAATTCTGAAAAGTAGAAACTTCATATAAGACCTTTATTTTACATTTACTATTTCTAAAATAAGTCAAGAAAACAGGCATCATACGGATCCCAGATCTACATACACGGTACATCAGTCTTAAATCACCCAATATTCCTTCATTTATAGAACCCAATTCCTTTCCCTTGCTTTCACAGCGCCAGTACTATAGCACACTTTTTTTCCCGAGCAGTTGCATAGTGACTGACAATATACTTCAAAATATGTATAACCGCACTTTTGTTGATATTCTTTTCCTGTGAAACTCTGAGAACATCCCGAAGAAAATATGTCACTAGTATCTTCTTTTAGCCTAGTAAAACAAAAAACAATGTTAAGATTACTTTTTTCTTTAGTTTTTATATAAATAAAATTCAAATTAGTATCACAGTTTTTTTTGTATTGTAGAAAATCCAGTTTGTAAGTTTAAATTTAATAAAGAACAAATGATTATTTAGCACACAAAAAATGTATATTTGATAAAATCAAAAAAATAATTTTTGCCAGATACAATAGCTTAAATAAACTACTGATATTTCTTGTGCTATTTTTTAAAAGAAAAATACTGATGCATATACAATATGAGTACTTAATAACATTTAATGACAACCAGTGCAGAAGACTTCAGTACATTGACTATTTTAACCTCACGATCTTCAATAATGATCCTTTCGGAATCCCTCTCAGGAAGCGATGTTCCATGGTGTGGCGGGAAAAAAAATCAAACGTTCTTGGAAACAGTGTTGATTTTAGTTCTAACAAATTCAAAGTATCCACAGATACACGAGGACCATTATCACGTCAATATGAGGAATATTAAAAAGAAATGTTGCCCCGTAAGTTTTAATGAATAACAATAGATCAAGTACATTTTACATGAATATGTCTTTCAACGTTTAGAAAACCCTGTCAAGATCAAAGAAGATAACGTTAAGTTTACAATAGTTTGAATCCAATCTAATATATTGAAAAAGAATTATGTACATATGTTATAGAATATCATTTTCTTTTTCATTCTAAAACAAACATATTCCATCATTTCAAGACACAAGCTACACTTGTATATTTCCAATAAATAAGCATAATGCAGTAAACGGAAACTCCCCAATATTTTCAGTCTCTGCAATAATTATAAAATTTAGTCTGCCAAAACCCCCCAGTGTAAAGAACCATTTGGCACAGTCATATTCAGTTCTTTCCGGGAAGTATAATATATACCCCGGTATATATAGAGAGCAGCTTATTTTGATTACATTTTCCTGATCTAAGAATTATGTTATAAATGCCTATTAACACAGATGTGTTTAATCCCTTTAATGTTTATATAATATTTTTAACTATCATCAACAACTGCCTCATTATTAGAATTCATCTAAAGGGTTCTCCATCATTTCAAATTTAACTGTGGCGCAAACGAATTGCACGAAGTACTTATGTTTGTGGTCATTTCGCGAAAAATTCGCGAAGGAATCTTCAATTAAATTGAAAAACACACAGCACCTATGAATAAAAATTTAGATACAAATAGAATTATTTATTTGACAAAATAATTAATGAATTTAAGATTAATAATAATAAAAACATTTTTATCGATTAAAAATAGTGTAAAACAAAAATTTAAATATTTTCTCAATATAATCTGTGCTCCCCCTTTTCCAAACACACACTGGAACTAAATAAATAGATACTTGATTATAGAATCTGCAAAAAAGTATCAATAATAACAAGTCGTAAGTATAGCGTAATAAAAAAAGTTTTCAAAAGATAAACAATGTTCATTCAAGATCGACGGAGGAAATTCTGGTAGGCACATAGGACACATACGATGTTTTTACTCTCAGTGCAAGTGCAATGTTAGAGATATGGTTAACTGTAGAACTATTTAAGCATAAACTATTTGATGTGTAATTATCGCGAAATGTGAAAAAAAATGGCCTCATGTGCCCAGCGAGGTCTAGAAGATAATTGATTGTACAAGCCAAACAATGAGCCCTAATTAGAGTAATTTATAGTTTTCCATTAGAAACTAAAAACAGTACATAATTTTGAGGTTAAGAAGTTTATTTGATTTTTTATGAAAAATATGATAATTATCTTACTGACAACGACGATCTTACTGTGGTGCTAATATTTTAACTGTGGCAGAACTATGGCGCTGATTTTGTAACTGTGGAATTCATATCCACTACGAAATAATTCACTACTCAACAATTGACCATCGACGAAATTAATTCCCCATGAACCAAGAGTTTTTCCTAAAAGCACAAAAGTTTGACCCCACGAAAATTTGTGATTTTACAGTTATTAAAGATCAAGCAATGACTTGAAAACAGTACTCATGTGGCTCAAAACTACATTCATTTGGTATTTATTTCTACCTGTAAGATTGCCTTTTGTACGTAAAATGTTATTCACAGAAACCATTTTTTCTCTGCATTCACATTCTGACGGGCAATTCATACCAAAATATGGATATTAGCAATTTTTTGACATGACTCTCCTTGGGAACCAGTCCAGGTTGACACTCTTGAAAAAAAGTTTATTTTGAATGTTCTTTCGTTTTCTGCGCACAAAGTACTGTAAAGGACGAAAAGTATATATTTTACAGATTTTCTAAGCTATTAAAATTATTCGTAGCCCTAAAATGCTAAAATTCAATTTCTAAGTTTTGGTTTACTAGTTTGTGATATTCTTTTTCACAGCACATTTTCTAGCTATGATGGGTTCAAATGGTAACATATTTACATTTTTGGATGCCTCTTGTAAACAACAAATATTAAATTAATTATTAATTTATCTACATTGGTTTAAAAAATAAGCAACACGAGGAAAACAAGCAAAGGGTCTTCACTGGACATTTTCCTTCTACAGTTAACTTTTTTTTTAACAATGCTGTCTTTCGCTTTCTGTATTCCCCTGATTCCACCATGTCCTCACGTGTTGCGTCTCCACACAAGAAAACCCATTATAACCAATAACGTGTCCACTATATGTCGATTACAGCTGATTATTTACAATTACTGATTACGATTACCCCATCCCCGTTCCTATGTATAACTGTTATACCCCATTGTGACCCCATCCTACACCCGGGGGTCATGCTTTGAAGAAACTTGAATCTACACTACATAAGGATGTTTCCTCGTGAGTTTCTTCTTTCCTGGCCCAGTGGTTCTGGATAAGAAAATTTTTATAAAAGATTTTAATCAGCCATTGTGGCCCCTCCCTACCCCATGGTTCATGATTTGAACAAACTTGAATCTACACTACCTGAGGATGCTTGCACATGAGTTTCATCTATCCTTGCCCAGTGGTTCTTGGGAAGAAGATTTTTAAAGATTTTTCCTTTATATGCCTATGAAAAAATTTGATCAGCCATTGTGGCCCCTCCCTACCCCATGGTTCATGATTTGAACAAACTTGAATCTACACTACCTGAGGATGCTTGCACTTGAGTTTCATCTTTCCTAGCCCAGTGATTCTGGAGAAAAGGATTTTTAAAGATTTTTCCTATATATTCCTATGTAAAACTTTGATCAGCCATTGTAGTCTTACCCTACCCCCAGGGGTCATGATTTGAAAAAAATTGAATATACACTACATGAGTTCCTTAATTCATCAGGTGAGCTAAAACCCAATTAAATCAAAAGAGTTCAACTTGTATCCCAGGTTCAGAATGTTCTTAACTGAAGCGAGTCCACCCAAGACAATTCACAACGTCAATTCACTGCGTGATCCGAAGTCCTCAAAACATTAGCTTGAAAATGATTTACTATATAAATACGCTTAAGGTTTCTACACCTACTGGATATAAAAAGAAATACTTTATTAACTTTTGAAATTTGGCATAAATATATAAATTCCCATTATATTATAGACAGTTTTACAAAACATCTTGCTCTTTAAAACTAAAAACAAAAATTTTGCTAAATGTGAATACTTACTCAGCTGTAGCATTTCATACGAAGAAAGTATCGTAATCCTAAGTAACTGAAGCCAAAGATTACGCAGCAGAGGAAACAAGACATTGTAATGTTTTCTTGGCATTGGTTACAATTATAACATACACCCAAGATCATTAAGCTCAAGTAATATTTACATCGCGGCGTCAAGGTGTGAATCAAATTAAAAAAAATCTGTAGATTAATATATGTAAATTAACATAGACTCGCATACAACTCAGTGACCAATAGAACGTAAAAGTGAAATATTCAAAATCTCTTATAAAACAAAAAATGTACATTTGCTTAGTTCTAATGCACGTCACAAAATGTTATTTGTTTTGTGAATTAAAATATAAAAATAAACATACTACTACCTTGGCATCCATTTACATGTTCACATTATTTCAGCGGTTTTGAAGTAGTCCAGTAAAATTTTAATCGTTAAAATATGCACCATTGTGCATAAAAACTAAATGAAAAAGATCTGTGTGTTGTTTCACACTGTATTTTTAACATGGTATTGATTTTAATCAAATTCTGGTACGAACTTTACAAACTTAGACTACTGAGAACGCATCTAAAAGATGGTTTTCCCGTGAAACTCTGTGTGTACGTAAAAAAAATTAGATTTTTATTGGCATGCAAATATTAATTGGAATACCTTTGGGCAATCAAATTGCAAGAAATTACACCCGTTTAAGAAACCTGTTATACGGTAGAATACCTTGGCATCCGCTAACGTGATCACAATACTTGTATTCACAAAGGCACTTATATTCACAATCCTTCCCGTAGTTTGGGTAGCGGCAATGATGTGCACAAGATAGACCAAAATATCCCTCATAACAATCCCTTCTACGAAGACACCCCCACTCGGGATCACAAAACTGTTCTCCACAATTACATGTTGACTGACAGTTCTTCCCATAGTTAGGGAAGAGGCAGCGTAATTCACAATTTTTACCGAAATATCCTGCTGTACAATCTTATATAAAAAAAATGAAAATTGATAATTCACTACATCCTCCATACAAGCAGTTTTAATCAAATTAATCAAATTTAATTAAAGCCATGTTTTTATTTTGATATCTGAATGGAATACTTACGAGAAAGTGTTAAAAAGTTTGAATGTTATTTATATTAATAGAACATTATTTTATTACCATTAACTTGGAATATGAGCATTTGTAATGTCTCATTCAATCTTTAAGTATCTATGCTTGATTACCTTGGCATCCGTTCACGTGATCACAAAATTGTTGTCCACAAGAGCAAGTTGACTTGCAATCTTTTCCATAGTTTGGGTAGCTACACTTTTCTTTACACTTTGTACCAAAATATCCTACGTTACAATCTAAGATATACTGACACCCGTTCTTGTGATCACAATACTGTTCCTCACAATTACAAGTTGTCTGACAACCCTCTCCGTAGGTTGGATAGAGACATTCAAGTTTACAACTGGAACCGAAATATCCAGCGGGACAAACTAGCGTGTAAATTAGTAAAGAAATAATTAAACTTTAAAATCTTTTAGGAATTGATTCATAAATATTTAAGATAAATATATAATATTAGAACAGTAACTTGATCCGAAGGGTCATATCACCTCGAGTTGACAGGCACGAATCATCAGATCAAACGAGACGAAGCGTCGAGTTTATTCTGATGATCCGTGCCTATCAGCGAAACGTGATATCTTCGGATCAAGTTACAGTTATAATGATCAATTTCTTATAATGATCAATTTCTCGTCATAACTAGCAAAATATAGCAAAATAAAACATAGAGATCAATTGTACAACATTTATCCATAAAACAAAGTATAATAACAAGGGATTTTTCAACGCGCAAGAAAAATAATGTAATGTTTCTGCGTACTTCGTCATCAGTCTCAGAAAGTGGTGATATGTATGGCACGCCAAATTCACAAAAATGAGCTAAACATAGTTTCACTAGTGATAAACTGGGTTTATCGACTGTAAACTACAGTTTACAAACCGTAAACTATAGTTAACGATTCGTTTTAAAGTATAGTTTTCATCTGTAAACTATAGTTTACGAATGCTAATCTAAGTTTATCTGTCTGTAATAAAACGTTAAAAATAGATTTTGTTGATGAACATAGATTCACGTTTGTAAACTATAATTTACGATCGTTTACTATAGTTAAGAGTTGTAAACCATAGTTTAGAAATCGTGAAACTATATTTATCAAATCGTTAACTATAGTTTACGGTTTGTAAACTATAGTTTACAAATCGTGAAACTGTATTTATCAGATAATCTATGTTTTGCAATCGCAAATGATTGTTTTGGGTGTTAAGTATAGTTTACGGTTGTGAAACATTGATTATCGCGTTAACTATAGTTTACAGATGTAAAATATAGATTAACGTTGTTAACTATAGTTTACAGTCTGTAAACTATAGTTTACAATCGATAAACCTAGTTTATCGACTATGAAACTATGTTAAGCTCATTTTTGGGAATTTGGCGTGCCATAGATATGGATTCAGAAAACCACAGTGTGGTGATCTGGAAAGTCAGATCACAACGTCACGTGATAGCGTAAAATCAACAGTAAAAGTGATATACATTAGGTATATAATAAGGAGGATTATTAAAAAAAAACTTACACTGCATTCCGAAAACCGAACATTTTGCTTTTTTCACTAATTAATTCCTTTTGGTATTAACTAAAAATACTATTTTTGTAAAACAAATAAAAAACAATAGTAGTTCTGGTACTGCAAAAATATTTGTATACATTTTGCCTCTCTTTTTCTATGAAACGGGCTTAAAAACCCTCTAATTTCTATGTAAATATGCCTGCAAGTGACTGTTTCACTTTTTTTATTATAGGATTAAACGTTCTTTTACACAGCGATAAATTTTTCAAAAAGAACGTTTCATTCTTATAATTCCAATTACGAATTAAAGAAAATTAATTATTTATCTTTGAGGCCGCCATACAATCTATTATTTCTGGACGGCTTAGGAATACTTAATACCGCAAAGGAACGTAATAGAGACGAAATTCGATAGAGTTCAGCTTTTATTTTGTCAAAACAATCAATAAATAAACTCATAAAAACTTACTGAATGTTGTTTCAGTTAACAAATATTGTAATTACAAATTTACATCAGAATAGTTCGTCCTTGACCATGCCCATGTTGACTTTAACGACAACTGACCGACGACGCCTTCGGTTTGCACACTGGTTTTGTCAAAGATTGAGGAACAATATAGAAAGTAAAGATGAATTTGATGATAATAAGGCAAGAGTTTGAGGTACGTTACTTTTCCCTGTAACAACGATACAAACTGAGCTGAATATGACATCAAAATTTTTAAAATTCATACCCGTGATCCAACATGGCGTCTGTCAGCTGGTTAGTCCTATTTGTCGCCAGTTTTGTTTTATTTAATTAAATTTGAAGTTTCTTATATTCATAATTTAGCTAAAACGGGCCAGAAATTTAACTGCTTTCAATTAGTCATTGTTTATACGATAGACCGAAAGCTTGGTCAAGAAAGTAGTTCTGATTGAAAATTTTATCGATGTGTAAACTTGTTCTGAAATGTGTTCTCGACCAATCAAAACACAGGGAATCAATAAATAAAATGAAGATTGGAATTTTATATATATATATGTAACATACATTCCAATTTTCTGTTTTCATTGAGCTATGATCTATTCTTTAAACTTACATGGAGATAGTGGATATTATTCATATGCTATATAACCTGATTAATACCGAAAATCTGGAAATTTTTACGTCGATTTTATTTTGCGAATCCGGGTTGAATTGCTGTTGATTAATTTTTACGTTTAAAAATTTTGCGAATGACCACTGCTTTGTTTACATTTTCTTATAGGTAATTTATTTTTAAGAAAAATATTTTTGCGAATGCAATGAAATCGCAAATTTGCTAAAAATTTATCGACAGCAAAAAATTCCAGATTTACGGTATATATATGTTCAATGTACTTTTGAACACCATTATGTGTTATTCTGTATTTAGAAATAAATCTCCATGCGTGATGCTGTAGGGTTAACTAATTAAAATTCTCCAAAGTTTGAGCACAGTTTTGTGTTTGATATATGTTTTTTCTTACTATACAATATTGCATGATTGCAGAGCCTAAAAAATAGATATGCCATTACATAAAATTTATTGATTTGATATATATTTTTGATAAATTTAAACTTTATTAAAAAGAGATCTGAGGAGTACTCATATTTGACATAACTACAAATTCATATATTTATAAGAAGAATGAGGAATATAATCTACTTTTGTGCGTGTTTTGCATTTTTTGTATGCTTTTTGGACAGCTGCGTAAATACTGCACAAAGAACAATGATATTAAAGATAAATTTCAGAGAAAAAAAAGTAGAAAAGAAATGAAGGGAATGGATGACTTTTTCACGGTAATTACCGAGTGACCCCTTAAACAATTTGCATGAACTAATAATTTTGCTATATCTTTTTGAAAGGATAACAAATAACTATTCATAGCATAAATTTTAATGCTGAAATTCAAGGAAATTACTTTAGTCTATCAGATGTATGAGATTGTGAGGAAATTCTACTTGTGAATAGAGATCGAGTAGGAAGGTATATCTTCGGTTTTATCATTGATCATGACCTTTAAGGAAAATACAAAGGATCATGCAATCAATAAATATCTTTAATAAATAATCTTATTTGGTACTCTGACTTTATGATAACAATGATTCTGCTTCACAGAGTAGGCGTTGCACAATTAAAATGTGGCCTTTATAATTTTTTTTCATTTCGTGTTAAAAATATTGATTGTTTGTATCATACTTCATGTATATCTTCACTACCTGTGCATCCCTTTATATGATCACAATGTTGCTGATAACACCAGCATTCTGACTGACATTGCACTCCGTAGTTTGGGTAGGGACATTCAAAGTTACACATGTAACCATAATATCCATCTGAACAAACTAAGATAAAATCATTTACATTAGTGAAAAATTAATTTAACTTTAAAAAAAAATTAGATATTGTAAATGTTATACATATAGAGGATTATTTAAAAAACCGAAACTTTCTACACTTCACTCTATAAACCGAATGATTTCATTTTTTTCTCTAAATTACTCAACATCTTTTAAGTTTTTATGCTTGACAGTTAAAATAATTAGATCAATAAACGATACGGTACTTCACTATACACAGGAAATATCTGCCTAAGCAAATCTGAAAGAAAGTCTAAAAAATGAGAGAGAGAGAGAGAGAGAATTGAAACTGAAACATGACTGATACTTACTGCTCCGATTGTATTTGAAACATACAACTTCAGTTAACCAAACAAGTAATGATAATAAATCAGAACCTCTGAATAAACCTTTACACATATTGCTCAATTAGTTCCTTGACTGGTATTGGTTTTTTTTTAAACTTGAAAATTCCAAAGTGGTTTGATGTAAACATTTTAATTTCCTTCATCTTGGAAATTAAGTACTATTAAAAATGTCACACGTGTAAAAGAGGAAATAATAAAAATTATTTATTACTTCAATCAAAATGCTCAATGATCTAATTAATCATACTAATTAAAAAAGCGTGAGACCACGCAAGTTTTGCAATAGATTAGGGATGGGGTCAATTACATAGGAAAGTAATTAATTTAGTTACAATTACTTCCCAAAAACTTCAATTAAATTACCATTACCATTACATGGATTTTGAAATGTAATAATTTTAAATTACAATTACTTTGCAAATGTAATTAATTAAATTACAAATTACATTCAAGGATATTAACGTATGAAAGTAAAAAGTCATGTACTATTTTTAACAGATTATTTTACAACATTTTTACAGAAATATTATTAAATCTTCATAAAATTTAAAATACTGTGTCCCCGAACTTAATATCTATATTATATGACCATTTTCCTGCCACGCTGAAGATTTTTTCCACTGGGGTATTTGTGAGAAAAATGCATACATGTAGATACTGACTAGTAGAAAGTTTATTCCTGGTTTTACCTTAATTCATGTGTTGAAAATTTGGAATCATTTTAAAGCTAGAATTAAGGTTTAACATACTATGGATGCTTTTTTGCCTTAATATTTCCTTATTTCAGCATCACAAATTTATCTCAAAATGTGGGTATTTACCTCATTCTGTACAAAACTAAAATTTAAAGTCAAAGAGTGTGTATGAAAATACCAACAGACGAAATCAAAATGTGTGAATAATATTTATTTAAGTACTTAAGAATAAGTACATGACCCCAGGACACTAATTAGCACCTGTTAATAACTTCTAACACAAGCTGAAGATATGGCAAACAAAAGGATAATAAGAAGCCATTGGACTTTTTATTTTCCTATGGATTAATTGATAATCAAATCAAAATATGAATTTTATTTGTACACTTTACAAAGATTAATTTCATTTAAAAGTTTAAAAAAAATGAAAAGGGGCATTATATTTACACAGCAATTTATTTAAAAAGGGAAAATAAATATGATTATGTAAAAATTCTTTTTAATAAATTTTACTAATAAAATACTTGGTCCAAGTTTTACTATTCAGTACGGGTCTCTGTAAGAATCAGACAATATGTGTATAAAAGTGAATCATGAGGGTTCTCAGAATTCGATGATTTTACACACATAGGTTTCTCTTACACTATGAACCACGTATGTAAAATGAAAATTATTTTGGGTCCTGGTTACTATGGAAACATGGCCAAAGAAGTTTTCCCTAGCAACTAGTCAATTTTCCATGGGTATGGACAAATAAATCACTAGACTTAGAGGCTTGAAATTGAATGTGAATATTAACAGAGGGGTTCTTAAATAATGTTATCATAAAGATAAACATTTCAAGTGATAAAACCATGTAATACATAGAATTTTTATTTTAAGATATTTCTTTTACGGGCAATGGAAGATATGCATGTTTTGCATTTTTTGCTGATTCAGCATTTTTCTTAATTTGGGCAATTTTCAAGGCCATATATCTCAAACTTCTAGCATAAAACAAGAGTATGGTATATTTTACATAAAGGCAGAGGAATATCCTTTTTTGAATTTAAATTCAAAAACGTGTGTTTTTTAATATTTACAGTCGGTTGCCTAGCAACAAACATGGATGTTTTGATTAAGAGAAAGAGACATATTGTCAAATATGCGAGTTATTTATGGAATTAAATCTTATGGGTGGATACCAAAATCAATTTTTAAAGTAAAAACCTATTTCTGAGCCTTCATTATGAATTCAGGAATATTTTGCAAATACTAATTGCCATAGCAACAGAAAATTCCCCATAGCAACAAAGAAAATAAATCCACTTTTGTCATGCACTCATTCACAGATTTGATTATTTCCGTCTAGAAATGATGACTTCGTAAATATTAAAAAATAGTGTTGAACTTTAACAATAGTAGTTTTTGATCTTAATTAATACATAGCAATATTACTGAGCTTATAACGTTAATAAAATTATACATTACAAGGAGCTAAAGTTATTCTTTAAAGTCTCTGTACATAAGCATTTAAAGACCAATTCTCCGTAATTATCAAAATTGGTTGGCAACGCATAGTCACAGATTTGGATTTTTTCTATCATAATTTTAAAAAAATGTGTGATTGATTGTGAAATTTAGAAGTAATTTTGAATTATAACCTCGGTTGCCATGGAAACGCATGAAAATCTGCTCTTTTCATGAAGATGTCCAGAAATGAAAGGAGATAATTAAATTTGTGTTCAAACCAATGCTAGAGATTCAAACGACAATGTTTACGGTTCAATTCTAATTTCACACTTGTTAATAGTCATGTTAGGTACTGGAAAATATCAAAATATGGTAAATTTTGCTGTGTTTAAAGGCATGCATAGTACAAAAATATACAATCATTTACAAATGAAGCATAGAAAAATGAAGGTCAATATCTTATTATATTAAACATTTTAAATTAAAAAATCGGTGGGCAAATGGTATGCATTAAAGAATTTTAAAAGTGAATATTAATTTTTTCTGCATTTTGAAGCATTTTTGCTTCCCGATTACTTCCCTTGGATTACTCTCTATATGATTTTAAATAAATAATTATTACACGCCGTTAGCAAGCCGCTGTGCTTTTTTCTTTCCATTTTTTGGCTTTCATGCATTTAACCCGAGATTCCTTTGCTTTAAAAATTGTGACACCTAAGGGGGCCTCTGCCCTGACTCTCCCCTGACCACGGTACATTTCGCAATAAAAATATTACATTAAGAACACGTTGATGAGAGACGTATGTCAGATCAGACAGTGACAGACACAATCTCTACGTAACACTGTATGTAATATACTTAGAGTATCTTGCGCTTAGACGGTTAGATGTTCAAACTAGCATGATTTACAATTTTTACCACAAGTTTTCCTCATGAGCAATCTTTTTATGAAGTGAAAAAATTAAAATGCATCTTGGTGTACAGAGGCTTGCTCCAGGTGTTTAAAAAATATTTATTGAAATATCATTGTTTGTATAATTGGTATATATGATATTTTTATTTATGTATATATATATTTTTTTAAAAATAAAAGCACACCTTCAGTTAGCACCAAATTTTATTTTAATGCAGAAATACATTTCCTTTATTTCCTTTAACTGTAACTGTCAAGTTGGGGGAGCCTTTTAATAAACATTTCCTACAGTGATAAGTTACGTTCGAAAAAAAATGGGGGGAGGGCAGCCCCCACCCCCTGGGCCCCCTGTTGCTACATCAATGGTTGGAAACAATTGTCCAAATTGGGTATGATTTGAACTGGTCAGGGAAAAGAAAATTCTTTAATATTGTTTTTTTTTTCTTTATAAGTAGTGATAATTGTATTCTTCAAGCATAGAAAGGATAGAAAATAATGATGACTGCATTGTAAATATTAAAAATGAATTTCATTGGCTAGGCTTAGCAAAATTGTACATGTTCGATAGAAACTGTAACACAATGTACATATGTGCTATACTCCCGAAGACCAAGTGCCCTCAAATTAGTATAGTTACTTAGTCATGTTATTAAACAGAATAAAAAAGAGTTATGTAATCTAGGAAAATTTGTGCAACTAGCGAGTGCATCAAGAATAGTGCCTTTCACTTGTTTATACATTATAGAAAATATAATACGTACTGTACAAGTTGCATGTTAAACTCATTATTATATTTGTTATTAAACATGTATAATTTTGAGATACATTTGTACATGTCTTTTGACTTCAATAAACTGAACTAAATTGAGATAAAATAAATAGAATGCCTAATACCATCAATGTACCTTAATATTCAAAGAATAAATTCATTTCCAAATTTCTGAATTTAATTTTAAAACATGTTTTTTTTTATATTTGCAAAATCTGATTTCTACTTCATGCACTATTTAAAATACCATTACCCACTAGACTTTCTGACTTAGCATAAATTTGGTCGAGGCTATTTGGTACCGCCTGGAAGGTGGCGGGAGTTATCTTTCCATAAGTGTTTATTGAGTTATCTCGCATTACTGTGACGTATAATGAAACCATATTAATTCGTTCTTCGTTTGGTTCATGCTTATGTAAATATATAAAACGGAAAGAAACTCAGTGTGTGTGAGGGAGGGTGTGGGTGTTGGGGGGGGGGGGGTCGACATAACAATTTTAATTATATTCAATAGAAAACAAAGGTGTTTTACAGACCATCCTCCAAAAAAATTAATTAAAAAAATTAGAAAGAAATTGACGTTAAGTACTATAAATAATTTATATTTATAAGTACATATTTGCCCTGCTTAGATATCACATCCTGAATAAATTGGGAGAGGCGCGCGATTACCAGACTTACAGATACCACCACCCCCCCCCCTCCACCCCACCACCCACTCACACACACAGATAAACCCAGTCAATGCAAGACGAGGAATTTAATGAACGGAATGCGTCTTTTATATGTCGATTTAAAATTTTTTGCAT